TTATCAAAAGCATGCTTAAAATAGGTAAATAACAGGTGAGATAAACTATACGGAAGATTACACTTTACGGACGTCAACAAATTCACTTTTTTAGAAATGACAAATGCACTCGTTGAGATACTTTCCTGAAATATTAAGTCTTTTTCTCGGGGATGTAAGGGAGTTAAATGACGCAATAAAGTACGAAAACATGTAGTAACACTTTGCGGTTATGCAGGGTGCTTCAAACGTACGGAAAATAATCCATACCTTTTAAAAAATAAGCTTTAGAAAGGCTATATATTTGTCACCTTTTGGTAACGTTAGCAATTTGGCATCTCAAAAACCACCAGCTATCACAACTAAAGTTTATTTTTTTTTTCAATTTTGGTTACTAAATTCAACAAAATTTTCGTACACTTGTATACGACAAAATTAGTTGAATTCAAAATTACACAAAAGGAAAATTAACAGTTTTCGAGATGCAAAATTACGAATGCGAAATATGAAAAATCCATGCGTATATCTGAAACATTTTTTTCTAAAAGGTTGGGTTACCCTGCATGTCAACTAAAATAATAAAAATAAACGAAAAAGTCTGATAGAAATATTATGAAGTTTGGCCTCTTATAGAATTATGTAGTTTCAATCTTTAATTGCTGTAGTAAAATAAAAAAATTCTCTTTTACTTCCTCCAAGGAAATTTCAGATGGGCAACGAATTGGTAATAAAACGAAGTTTTCCTCAAAAACACCGGAAATATCATCGTGTGGAATATAAAGATTAACAGTTTAAATTTAAATATGGCTAGCAAAATCATACTAATGTAAACAAAGCATAATTTCAAAAATGTTTAATATTTCTTTTGGCGAACGTGCAATATTTTAACATATTACGAGCGTTTATTTGCAAGAAAATAAAATCAATTTCTGATAACCTATTGTAAGGTCTTTTAGTTCAAAACAAACAATTTCAAACCTTTTTTGTTAAATCTTTATTTAATTGGAAACAGTTACATGTAAATAGGTAATTATTCNTGTCCTTTACGAATACTAGAACATTTGAAGCAAAATATCAAATCGTTTACCACTGTAGGCATCTTTAAAATTCTTTTGCTAATATTACAAATAAGTGCATGTATAATTGCCGATATTTAATTTTTGTTACTAACAGTAAACTACTCTTAACATAACTCAGGAAAATTTTCATGTATTTCAACAGTAAATCACCCTTAACTCAATTATATGAGGGGCGATCGTCAGACAGACTGCACTGTTAGATTCTGCAGCATTTTATACCCCTGATACATGTAACTAACATATTACGAGCGTTTATTTGCAAGAAAATAAAATCAATTTCTGATAACCTATTGTAAGGTCTTTTAGTTCAAAACAAACAATTTCAAACCTTTTTTGTTAAATCTTTATTTAATTGGAAACAGTTACATGTAAATAGGTAATTATTCAATTTATTGAATCACCACAGTATAATTTCTGACATATTATGTGCATGCATTGAAATTATAAGTACCATATTATCAATCCTATTTAATTCAATTTTAAGAATAACTACATACCTACAAATGCATAATAATATATGGACTGTTAGTATTTCAAAAATATTCATTTACAGTTACTGATCGAAATAATTTTATCAAAATCATAACAACACGTGAATAATACATTGAAAAAGCACAAGCAACAACCAAATAATAATAACTATAAGACAATAAAAAACGACCAGCACGTTTTATTAAATTTAAATTAGTTACGAAAGCGATAATGTTAAATTAATTATTTCCACAATTAATGAAAAATCACGTAGGCAATTTCAATTTAAGATTGTTTATGATTTCGAAAGGAATAACACTGCAACTAACACGATTAAACAGTTCAATGGAATCTATTTTTAAATATTTTTAATTTCAATTTATTTTAATATTCATAATACACTTAGGAGTAGGTCGTCAAAAACTTCCTTATTTTTTGTTTACATCTCCACATATGATAAGCAAGTGTGGTGACCTTTACCCTTTACCGTTTGTTTGTAGATTGTTAGCTAGGTAGATAGGTAAGCGTGGAGGTTAAAATGGTTCAGTCAGCTGCGTTTACTAAACTTTTGAATGAGTATGACTTGATGCACATTTACTGAAAAATTGTGAAAACTATACTACTTCCGGATATTACAACGAAATTAGAGCGGTNAAGTTTCAATAATGAAAAAGAAAATTAACTACTTTCGAGGAAACAAACAAATAATAAAATTCTTTTGCAATTCATTACAGGAGTTTCGTCAGAAAGGGGACAATTTAAGGAAAAGTCGAGTAATATTTGTTTTTCTTCGCTGTACGGTAGTTTTCGGGGAATGGTTTCAAGATACAACCCGGAGTTTTTGAATAATGAAGTAATGGTGTTCGTTAATCTTAGTTTTTAAGGCTCTTTCACTTTTTCCTATGTCGGCTACATAACAGTCATTACAAAAAAGCCGATTTACACCCCTTTCATCAAGAGGGTTTGTCGTTGTATAAACTATTGTTAATATTACGTTTGTTACCTACATACAACGGTGTGTCTGTTTTAATATACTTTTTCATATATGTGAAGTATGTAGGAACGTACATCAAAATTTTTGTAACGAATGTGATACAGTAGAATCACAGGAAAAGTGAAAGAATCTTAAAAATTAGAATTAAAGAACACATTAACCCCTTTAATAAAAAACGCAGTTTTTTGACGTAAAAGAAACAAAAATTTTACATGATAATACAACAGGGTGGGCCAGTTTTCAAAATTTTCCAGAAAGTTGCCATCCTGTAGAAATAATAGACGTAAAACTTTCATTATTTGAAAATCTAAAAATCGCAATATAAACCGTTGAACAAAAAGTTCGTATGGTCATCGGTATTCTGTCAAAGCCGTCACAGGCGAATCGCGATGTCGACCTCATTGGGTCTCGTTAGCACGACGCAGACAGCTTTTGTTCTGTTTAGTTACGACAGGTCGGCAAGTCGATTCCTTTTGAACCTTGTCTCGGAACATTTTTGAATGTCACAAAATGTAGCAATATTTTATCGTACTTTTAAAAATTTAGCACATAACACAACACGATTGATAATGGTCTCTTTAAACAATATTATCATCAAGACATTGGTGAAACTGTCCATAGGTGCTTTTCGAATTGAATTTACATCATCATGTTTTACAAAGTGTGCACGAAAGAAAGTCTTACTAGCAGGATTATCCGTAGGCTAATGAATTTTAGAAAAATCTTGAATAAGCGATTTAGAAAATGACTTCTAATGACGCAAGTAGATAGGTACTACACGTAAATGTAAGATATCCGGGACCGGGCACCTACAAAATTCCGGTTACTTGTGACTTCTTAATCTCGGAATGACATGGTCATTTATATCTACATAAAAATGTAGTACATCTACTCGTGCCATAACAGATGACCGTAGGGGAAGTACCTGGGAGACAAACACGTGCGTGTTTGTGTACAGGTTCGAAATATTCGTTGTGCTTACGTCAGATAAGGAGCGAATTGTTATTGCCGTAAAATACATATCGTTACAAAAGTTTTCGAATAAACATCGCCTAATGATAGACACACACATACGTACAATAAATACTAAATAGATATTTGTTTGTGTACGTGTGTGTGTGTCTGTATATACATGGTCACCTTTAAGAAATCCAATCATAGGACGACATTCTGTTTTATATGTAGTTCACGCCATCGTCAGGTTTACTTTCACTCGTGGTTTAGTGTTGTTTTAGTCATTAACAAGTTGAGTTGTACCTACTACGTACTCTTGTACTTATTACAAATTCCTAAAACGATCTGTATTTACTCGATGTCAATGTAGGTATCGTGTCTGCACTTTTATGTACCCATATGAAGGTATACTGCCAAATCCACAAAACAGACAAACTTGGCAAACGTTCAAATATTTTCCACCACGATATCTACCCACATATTGAAAATTGTTATCTGAAGGTAAAACTCAAATGAAGTCTGGTCTTAAAGAATAATTAGTCCAATGCAATAATTGCGACCGATTTTTCAAAAATTCATGCAAGCTTGACAACAAAATATTTGGTAAATGTCAGTAATGTCTAGTCGAAAATTTCAAGGTGTTTTAATTAATAATTTCAATTGAATCGACACAGGTCAACTGTCGTCTTCGATGTTATACGAATACACCGATTTCTACTAGAAAATCCCTGACAAGAAAGCCGTTAATGAGCCCGTAGAAACAGCTGATTTCTATTATGAAATAACTGCTTATTAGGTACATTTCGTTGAACTATTTTCACACTTCTATATGCTAACACAAATTCGTAACCTATTTAATTGCTCATTTCAACTATTAATGAATGTAAGTACGTGACCAAAGAAACAGTTATCTCAAATTGAGCTTTAATAGAATATTTAGAAATATTAAAAGAATTTCTTCTAAATTGCCGAGAGCTATGTAGAATCGTACGAACCTACATAATAAATATGCATAAAACTAGTTAGCTATTAAATTAAGTAGGTACTTGATTTTTTTTTATAAATTTTAAATAAATGATGAACCCATTTGTGATTTCAAAATGTGGAAATTCCAAATCCATATGTTACAAAAATAAAAATTAAATGAAGAAATATAAAAACAACATAAAATCACCAATATGCTAACANTATTTTAACAGTAAATCACCCTTAACTCATTTGTATGAGGGGCGAACGTCGGACAGACTGCACTGTTAGATTCTGCAGCATTTTCTACCCCTGATACATGTAACTGAGGGTGTGAAATGTATTCTTTTTTAGCCGAAAACTTAGATGCGCTCTTTTAAAACAGGAAATTTTCATGTATTTCAACAGTAAATCACCCTTAACTCAATTATATGAGGGGCGATCGTCAGACAGACTGCACTGTTAGATTCTGCAGCATTAATAGAAATATGGCGACTATATTCGGGATAGATTAGTATCCTGTTTTTCAAGCAATAAATAAATATTTTATGACTCACCTGATTTCTTAGATATTCCTCTATTGCACGTAAAGCAGAATCTGTTAATTTCACAAATATTAAGTCTTTATTTTCACCGAAACTTTCTTGCGATGACAAGCCATACTGAACACCTGGACAGAGCGCCGCCATTTCTGTCGATTTTATCGGACTGTACAACCAGCTGACGTTTAATCAAGTCAAATCACGTTCCGTAATCATTACTCACTATGAAAAAAAAAGAATCGGAAAATAAAAACACAAAAATGTTAACACAATACTTTTTCACAATTTAAAAATTATTTGTAAGTGACTAGCAACAGCAACCGAATTTTTTGAAGTGAGCAATTACTTGTACTAATGAACTGACATATCGAAGTAGGTATTTTGACAGGTGGCAGTAACTACTGGACTTTAATTAAAAGTAGCAACAGGTTTCTTTTCTACAATAACAAAATATTTAAATAATTTATTTACTATAACATATCCATTAGCAAATAGACAATATCTTATTAGTCTTCTACCTTGAATTACATTTTTATTTTGTACTTAATCTAAAACAGTGTTTTTGATATATTTGTAAATATCATAGTTTAAAAATAAATAAGTTTACATTTCCAACAAACAACAATAACTTTTAAATAATAATATTATTGCTTTTAATTAGAAATAATGGGAAACAAATATATTAACAATTTTTGTTTAAAATTGAATGTAAACAGTAGATTCACTATGCATGCATCCTATCTCCAGGGTGCAAATGGTGGCCTATGCTGAACTCAATTTGATATAAATTAAATATAAAAAAACTAAAAATTATTAAAAAAAACTAGAAGTAATTCACTACAATTTTTATCAGTTATTTATAACATGCATCAGGCAACCAGCCATTAATAAAAAACAATCTCAGCAATCATTCGAAACATTATCGCCCATATATGATAATATAATACCCTTAACTTACTTATTAATGGAGATATCGACAAACAGAATGCACAGTTAGATTCTGCAGCATTTTCTACCCTAGAAACATATAACCGAAGGTGGGAAATATATAGTTTTTTAGACGGAAATTTAGATGCGCCTTTCTAAATAAATTAACTTAATAATATTCATGTATTTTAACAGTAAATCACCCTTAACTCATTTGTATGAGGGGCGAACGTCGGACAGACTGCACTGTTAGATTCTGCAGCATTTTCTACCCCTGATACATGTAACTGAGGGTGTGAAATGTATTCTTTTTTAGTCGGAAATTTAGATGCGCTCTTTTAAAACAGGAAATTTTCATGTATTTCAACAGTAAATCACCCTTAACTCAATTATATGAGGGGCGATCGTCAGACAGGCTGCAGTGTTAGATTCTGCAGAATTTTCTACCCCTGATACATGTAACTGAGGGTGTGAAATGTATTCTTTTTTAGTCGGAAATTTAGATGCGCTCTTTTAAAACAGGAAATTTTCATGTATTTCAACAGTAAATCACCCTTAACTCAATTATATGAGGGGCGATCGTCAGACAGGCTGCAGTGTTAGATTCTGCAGAATTTTCTACCCCTGATACATGTAACTGAGGGTGTGAAATGTATTCTTTTTTAGTCGGAAATTTAGATGCGCTCTTTTAAAACAGGAAATTTTCATGTATTTCAACAGTAAATCACCCTTAACTCAATTTTATGAGGGGCGATCGTCAGACAGACTGCACTGTAAGATTCTGCAGCATTTTCTACCCCTAATACATGTAACCGAGGGTGTGAAATGTATTGTTTTTTAGTCGGAAATTTAGATGCGCTCTTTTAATACAGGAAATTTTCATGTATTTCAACAGTAAATCACCCTTAACTCATTTATATGAGGGGCGATCGTCAGACAGATTACACTATTGGATTCTGCAGCACTTTCTATCCGTGATAGATGTAACGGAGGGTGAGAAATGTATTGCTTTTTAGTCGGAAATTTAGATGCGCTCTTTTAAAACAGGAAATTTTCATGTATTTTAACAGTAAATCACCCTTAACTCATTTGTATGAGGGGCGATCGTCAGACAGACTGCACTGTTAGATTCTGCAGCATTTTCTACCCCTGATACATGTAACCGAGGGTGTGAAATGTATTCTTTTTTAGTCGGAAATTTAGATACGCTCTTTTAAAACAGGAAATTTACATGTATTTTAACAGTCAATCACCCTTAACTTATTTATATGAGGGGCGATCGTCAGACAGACTGCAGTGTTAGATTCTGCAGAATTTTCTACCCCTGATACATGTAACTGAGGGTGTGAAATGTATTCTTTTTTAGTCGGAAATTTAGATGCGCTCTTTTAAAACAGGAAATTTACATGTATTTTAACAGTCAATCACCCTTAACTTATTTATATGAGGGGCGATCGTCAGACAGACTGCAGTGTTAGATTCTGCAGAATTTTCTACCCCTGATACATGTAACTGAGGGTGTGAAATGTATTCTTTTTTAGTCGGAAATTTAGATGCGCTCTTTTAAAACAGGAAATTTACATGTATTTTAACAGTCAATCACCCTTAACTTATTTATATGAGGGGCGATCGTCAGACAGACTGCAGTGTTAGATTCTGCAGAATTTTCTACCCCTGATACATGTAACTGAGGGTGTGAAATGTATTCTTTTTTAGTCGGAAATTTAGATGCGCTCTTTTAAAACAGGAAATTTACATGTATTTTAACAGTCAATCACCCTTAACTTATTTATATGAGGGGCGATCGTCAGACAGACTGCAGTGTTAGATTCTGCAGAATTTTCTACCCCTGATACATGTAACTGAGGGTGTGAAATGTATTCTTTTTTAGTCGGAAATTTAGATGCGCTCTTTTAAAACAGGAAATTTACATGTATTTTAACAGTCAATCACCCTTAACTTATTTATATGAGGGGCGATCGTCAGACAGACTGCAGTGTTAGATTCTGCAGAATTTTCTACCCCTGATACATGTAACTGAGGGTGTGAAATGTATTCTTTTTTAGTCGGAAATTTAGATGCGCTCTTTTAAAACAGGAAATTTACATGTATTTTAACAGTCAATCACCCTTAACTTATTTATATGAGGGGCGATCGTCAGACAGGCTGCAGTGTTAGATTCTGCAGAATTTTCTACCCCTGATACATGTAACTGAGGGTGTGAAATGTATTCCTTTTTAGTCGGAAATTTAGATGCGCTCTTTTAAAACAGGAAATTTACATGTATTTTAACAGTCAATCACCCTTAACTCAATTATATGAGGGGCGATCGTCAGACAGGCTGCAGTGTTAGATTCTGCAGAATTTTCTACCCCTGATACATGTAACTGAGGGTGTGAAATGTATTCTTTTTTAGTCGGAAATTTAGATGCGCTCTTTTAAAACAGGAAATTTTCATGTATTTCAACAGTAAATCACCCTTAACTCAATTATATGAGGGGCGATCGTCAGACAGGCTACAGTGTTAGATTCTGCAGAATTTTCTACCCCTGATACATGTAACTGAGGGTGTGAAATGTATTCTTTTTTAGTCGGAAATTTAGATGCGCTCTTTTAAAACAGGAAATTTTCATGTATTTCAACAGTAAATCACCCTTAACTCATTTATATGAGGGGCGATCGTCAGACAGACTGCACTGTTAGATTCTGCAGCATTTTATACCCCTGATACATGTAACCGAGGGTGTGAAATGTATTCTTTTTTAGTCGGAAATTTAGATACGCTCTTTTAAAACAGGAAATTTTCATGTATTTTAACAGTAAATCACCCTTAACTCATTTGTATGAGGGGCGAACGTCGGACAGACTGCACTGTTAGATTCTGCAGCATTTTCTACCCCTGATACATGTAACCGAGGGTGTGAAATGTATTGTTTTTTAGCCGAAAACTTAGATGCGCTTTTTTAAAGAGGAAATTTTCATGTATTTTAATAATAAATCACCCTTAACTCATTTATATGAGGGGCGATCGTCAGACGGACTGCACTGATAAATTCTGCAGCATTTTCTACCCCTGGTGCATGTAACGGAGGGTGTGAAATGTATTGCTTTTTAGTCGGAAATTTAGATGCGCTCTTTTAAAACACGAAATTTTCGTGTATTTCAACAGTAAATCACCCTTAACTCAATTTTATGAGGGGCGATCGTCAGACAGACTGCACTGTAAGATTCTGCAACATTTTCTACCCCTAATACATGTAACCGAGGGTGTGAAATGTATTGTTTTTTAGTCGGAAATTTAGATGCGCTCTTTTATTGCAGGAAATTTTCATGTATTTCAACAGTAAATCACCCTTAACTCATTTATATGAGGGGCGATCGTCTGACAGATTACACTATTAGATTCTGCAGCACTTTCTATCCGTGATAGATGTAATGGAGTAACAAAGTGAAGATCTTTTCCTAGTAATACGATTTTACTCGTAATCCTTTTTGGTTTATTACAATTATAAATCAAATCAAATTGTCTATTTAAGTTTTCTTTAACAGATATAAATTTAAGTTTTATAATGTTTATGTCAAGGGCAATCCTATAGCGGCATTCTTCTTTTTACATCTAATAGTTCTGACCTCAGTTTTTATAAAACAATCGTCCAGCTGTATGTAATGAATATTTATTTATAAAAATGTAAAAGTAGGAACAAACATTATCTGGTTCATAATTTAGCTTCAATGTTATGAGCTGTTTTTGTGTTTCGTTATCTCGAGATGACGACGGCAATGAATTATTATCTTCAGGTTTTGTCCTTTACGAATACTAGAACATTTGAAGCAAAATATCAAATCGTTTACCACTGTAGGCATCTTTAAAATTCTTTTGCTAATATTACAAATAAGTGCATGTATAATTGCCGATATTTAATTTTTGTTACTAACAGTAAACTACTCTTAACATAACTCAGTAAGGTTTTTTTGTTAATTTATTTCATCCCATGGCAATTTCTGCTGCAAAGGATAAAATATTGTCCTGGTTATTATTATTAGAGTAAATTTTATCAAAACTTTCAAATTAAAAGCGAATTTTCTATTGTTACTGCGTATGGACAAAATAAAATAAATAAATTGGCAAAGGGTATGGAAGAAATGATTACACTTTTCAGAAGGAAGTTTTATATTGAATATCAGGTGATTTTCTCTGGATAACTGAAAATTTCTTCTGATTTTTTAATACACAAACGAATTTTGATAATTTTACACCGGAATGTTATTGTTTGATAATTCGTGTATTATTTTAATAACGCTCCGCACTGAGGCTGTTGAGGGCGCCAGCTGTATTTTACATTCGCCTTAACTCTGTATTGTTAGTAAATACTGAACCGTACGACTGAGTATGTTGCGCGGAGAGCTACGGAAAATCTGGTGTGTTTTCGTGGAAATTTACCGAATTGGTGTGGAAAATATTATAAAAACTGTGCATCTTGGTGTGATTTAACATTAATTTAAGCAAACGTTCAATTATAATGGAATGTGTTTTGTATACTAATAGTCTGATCCGGTAAGTCTTTATTGCTACTTTAAAATTGCATATTGTAATTTTTAGACCTACATACAGATATATTTTACGTTAAAAAACAATGTGTTCAATAAACTGGTAAAATTAACTGAATTTAACTTTATTTAAGTGTTTTTTCGTGATTGTAGTAAAGCTGCGATTATCAGCCTTCACAAGTAATGTAGGCAAAATTTACTCTACAGATCGTTTTCGAATATCGTTAGGCACTTTGTGTAAAAATTTTAGTTTTATATTGTTAATATTTTTCGTTAAATATATCTTTATGTTTAACCGCTCACCGCACATTCAAGCAAGAAACTAGATACATATACTTCGCTCAGGCAAGACACAGGCAAGTAGTAATACGGTATGCGAGATCTGGCTGTAGTATACCCGCTGCACACGGAGGGCGCCTTAACTGTGCAAATAGCGGGGTATGCAGCTGGGAAGCTGCCGGTGGCCCGGCCTATATTACTAGCCTACGATTAATACTTCGTTCTTCCTGTATAGTTAACACGTCGCTTTCTCGTACTCTCAATACATCTCGACATGTTCCGGCATGACGCGGTGTACTGAAATACGGGATATCGGCGTTTAACTTACAGGCAGCGCGTAGGCTTAATAGTGGGTGGATGTTTTGCACTTTTTGGAAATGATTTTTTTATACTGACACTAAAACACTGTTTTGACTGTATAATTTATATAATTGCTATCGAAACTTAATCTGTTTATTGAATTTAGCAAAATCCCTTCAAAGTAGTTTAATTTATTTAATGTATATTATTTCTTTGCAGGCGATTAATTGTTGTTAATTGACAAATTATGTTTGTCTCATCTAATGTAGTAATAATAGAGAGATTATTTTGAAAGACAATTTTTAACAGCTTTTAGTGTTACACTTTTTCAGATAGTCCAAAAATTTTTGGTTCCAGTGCAAACTGAGGATATGTGCGAACTTATGCTAGCATATCTTATTTTTCTTTCTAGATATTCTCTTTAACGTAATTTCGTTTAAACTTGATCATTTCGTTAATAACTCAGGGAAAAAACATTTGAAAAATTGGTAGATATTTTGGTTGTATGTCATTATCAGTATACAAATTGACTCGCTTTCTACAACATCACAAAAACCAAATTATAAATTGAGTTATTATTAGTGTATTTAGTAGCTTCAACTAAATCGTCATAGTAGGTAACTAAATAGTATCAAGTCTTCTAGATGATTCATATCTGAGTTGTAGAACTGCTTAATTATTTTACATGGAAATATTCACCAGATATAATTTCGTCAAAACTTGTGGGAACTTTGGTGTAGGTACCTATTATTTTCATGTTTTATTACTCTTATACGAACTGAAATTGTGTTATTTTTTTGATCAATTTTTCTCTAATAGCGTTATCTACGTATACATACCTTTAACGTTTAAAAGATCAAAAATTTAACAACAAACAGTCGATAGAAGTGTTATAATGAGTAAAAATGTAATAATTAAGTTTCCACTTGTTGCTTATAGCTATTCTATTTTATTTGTTATTATTCCTGGATAGTTGGTTGGTGCGACACAGTGAGTCAAAACTCACCTCTAGGGTTGCTTTTCGTTTTATTTCATATTAAAAAATTAACTATAAAAATCACCAAGTTCAATAATTTTATTTTGGAGCAAATACAAATACAATTATTGAAAACTTTAACAGAATTATTTTACTTGATATCTTTTATCATACTTACCTTTATGCATGTTTACTCCAAAATAATATTATTGAACTTGGTGATTTTTATAATTGATGTAAAGGAAGCCGACGAAATAGAATTGGTATGCCAGATACTTCCGGCAGTTTTTAGACATGCATACCAAGATATTTTTTTTAATCGCATTAAAACACGTATAATTAAAAAAAAGTGTACGCGATATTGTTGAAGTTTTACCCTCTTTTACACCCTTTAAGTAGGTATGCCACGCCCTTTCGGCTAAAAAATTTGGTGAGCCATTTTTTTTTAATTAACAAATTTATTATCGAATACAGTACAATTCTTGTTTGGTTTGTGTTTTTCTTTTTTAATAGACAGAGAAAACTAAATTTTGATGACAACGTAAAAATTTTCGACTATAAATGACTCAATTTGCCATAGAAATAGTAGATTTTATTAGGTAACTTGTAATAATTTCAGTTTTGACAAGCTTATTCTTAATTTTTAAAATTAAATTCGGGTCCAAATTGTATTTTTTATTATTTTCTCTTACGAAAAAACGGGATAGTGGGATAAATTGTAAATATCGCTTTAAACATCGTCATCATCATCATCATCATAANATTTTGGTCGTATAATTGTCAATTACCAAGTTTTTTAAAAATTGTACAATCGCGCGATATCGTTACTTTCAATGCCACCAGCTCCTCGCCTATTAAGTTTCTTCTTCTTTATATTTTAGTTTAAAAATATAGTAAAGTAAACTGACATTTCCTATACAAAAAAATATTTTGTTCTAAGAAAAGAATATATTAAAGTTACTTCGAATAGTTTAATTGATAAATCCAACGGATGTAATGATTATTCGTTTAGGCTTACGTGTTTGGTTTTGGTTTTAGTTTTAGTCTTTCTCGTTTGTTCTGTCTTGGTTTCGGCCACGCTAGTATAAAGACAGTTTTCGTCTTCGTCTTGGACCAAGACTGCAAGACTAAGACTAATTTTGCTCATCAGTATTATTAGAAATAATTTGTGATCATTTAACTTCTAATAGTTTTTGTTTGAAACTATTATTTCATCCTGTTTTGGTACATAATAATTTATAGGGTTAAATGAACAACAATTTTTTTAGTAATAACTTCGTTGCATAAAAGTAATAGAATTTTGTCTTAAATGTTTACCGTAAAGCATTGATAGGTAGAAACAGAAACAGAAACAGAAGGCGTAATTACATTTACTTTCTACCTACACATGAATTTTACAAACTAAGCATTTTTGTCCATATTTTTTAAGCTGTCCTTTCCTTCCATTTGAATTTCCCATTTTGTTGTATCATTTGCTTTTATTCCACATCTCTAAAGTATGTTCATGCATCTCTGCTTCCGATTTACACAATCTTCTTCCTAGTATCTTGTCGCCCTACTTTCACCTGTCTACTAGTCTAAATTTTGCTGTTAAAACTAATTCGATTTTTTTTCTTTACTCTTTCGTCTTTCAAATAATGTGATTTTTAACGAAATTGATTTCTGACTTGGCTCTTGGTGGAACATATTTAATATTAGGAAAAACACCAAGTATACATACATTTATCCACCACCATGAAATGTTTCAATTAGACTTCAACCCCTTTGCTAGTTGTTCTTTAGTTTTAAGTAAATTTAAGGTTGTTAGTTAGAGTATGTAAGAAACCTTCTTCGCTAGTAGTTTTATTGAAAACATTCTAGTAGAACGGAAGTTCAACAACGCAATTTCCGAGTGGTCTTCGGATAATTTTTTGTCTTACGATTGCACAGGAACCATACCGAATCTGTTGGTATATTTAAGTTTTCAGTATTTGGGTAATGCTCAGTTAATCTGGGTATTATGCAATTCTGTATTTAGTTTACATATTTATTAATTTACAATATTTTTAATTAAAATCAGGTAGAAATGGTTGGAATGTTCTTTTTATTTTTCCTCATTTAATGTAAGGTATTGCATATGGATATAATTTAACTAACCATAATTATTTGTTTTCAGGTGTGCTACCTCTGCAATCTTCTCCAATTTTGCTGCACAACAGAAGTTTCCATGAGTTTCCAGAAGCTCGATAGAGCGCTTAGCACGGAAAGAAGTGGATCAACCCCTTGCGACCACAACGGTGAGCTGTTCAACATTATGATTTCTTGTTGCAATTTTACTAATTTATTAATAAAAACATTGTGAGGGGTTGAATTTGTATTTTAATTATGTTTTAAAGAACAGTACTACAACTGATTTTCTTATAATATTTATGTTGCCCTTTATTTTTAAGTTGAAAATTTTGAAAATTCTTGACTACTTTTCATTGTATGTATAAAACAACCTTCGGATGATGTTTGTACAAAATCTAGTTTTTCTAATTTTCCGTACGATTTTTTACAATTAAACACTCAAAAACATTCTTTTATATTTTACAGAGGTACCGATGTTATTGGAAAGCTTAGTTTTTCTAATTGTTCGAATAAAGATTAAATTTTCAAATAGACATTCAAAAGTTTGTGAAAGTAGACACCAAATGGATTTGGAAGTTTCAGCAAGTAATATTTTATTATTTTTGCTGTAGCTGTTCTTGGTTTTCCTACCCCAAAGAGTAGAGGAGATTCGGTGGAGTGCCTATACTTAACTGTTCATGGTTTTCCTGCCCTAAATCGTAGAGGAATTTTGGTGGAGCGCCTATACTTGGAGAGAGGTGGACCAACCCCTTTCGACTGCAATGGTGAGTTTTTCAATATTTTTATACTTAGTTCTATTTCTTGCTGTAGTTTTCCTCCAATTCATTATTTAGAGTGAATTAAAACCTAAACTGAACTTTTCCCAACAAATGAAATATTAGTGACGATTTTTTGTAACTGCAGTGTTTATCTTGCCCAAATGCATTTATATGTCAAAAATCTTGATAATTCTTTACAACTTTTCATTTCATACCAAATTTTCTTTTATTGACGTTAACGAAAAGCCTTTTTCTTCTGAATAGTCAAAATTATTAACCATTTTTTATTTTATTTCATACTTTACATACTGATGTTAGTGNTAATGCTTTATTATTTGTGTTACAGCCATTCTTGGTTTTCCTACCCTAAATCTTAGAAGAGGTTCGGTGGAGCGCCTATACTTGGAAAGGAAAGAGGTGGATCAACCCCTTGTGACTACAGTGGTGAGTTCTTCAATATTTTTATACTTATTTCTATTTTTGCTGTAATTTACTTCTATTTCATTATGTAAAAATGAATTAAAACGCAAACTGAACTTTCCACAACCTTTTTATTACTAACAAATAATTGCGAAAGGTTTAATTTGCGTTTTAATTAAAGTGACAGAGCTAAGACAATTACTAATTATTCGAATTTAGTAACATATTGGATGTTAGTGACGATTTTTTCTAACTACTGGATTTATCTTGCCTAAATGCATTTATACGTTGAAAATTTTGAAAATTCTTTTCCTTCTAAATCAAATTTTCTTCTATTGACGTTAATGAAAAGCCTATTTCTTCTAGATATTCAAAATTCTTAACTATTTTTCATTTTCTTTCATATTTTCGATAGGTTGTAATGCTAATAGAAAACTTGGCTTTTCTAATTTTTCGAATATAGATTAAATTTTCAATTAGGCATTCAAAGGTTTGTGAAAATAGATATTAAACGAATTCGGAAGTTTCCAAAACTTATTCTCTTATATTTATATGTTGTAGCCGTTCTTGGTTTTCCAACCCTAAATCGTAGAGGAGGTTTGGTGGAGCGCCTATACTTGAAGAGAGGTGGATTAACCCCTTTCGACTACAACGGTGAGTTCTTCAATATTTTTATACTTATTTCTATTTTTTGCTGTAATTTACTTCCATTTCATTATGTAAAAATGAATTAAAACGCAAACTGAACATTCCACAACCTTTTTATTACTAACAAATAATTGCGAAAGGTTTAATTTGCGTTTTAATTGTGACAGAGTTAAGACAAATACTAATTATTCGAATTTAGTCACAAATGGGATATTAGAGACGATTTTCTCTAATTACATTGTTTATGTTGCTTAAATACATTTATATGTCAAAAATCTTGAAAATTCTTTACCACTTTTCATTCTATATCAAATTTTCGTTTAGTGACGTTAACAAAAAGCCTATTTCTTCTAGATATTCAAAATTCTTAACTATTTTTCATTTTCTTTCATATTTTTATAGGTGCTGATGTCAGTAGAAAGCTTGGTTTGTGTAATTTTTTGATTAAAGATTAAATTTTCAATTAGGCATTCAAAAGTTTGTTAATGTAGACACTAAATGAATTTGGAAGTTTCAAAAACTAATGCTTTATTATTTGTGTTATAGCCATTCCTGGTTTTCCTACCCAACGTCATGGAGGAGGTTCGCAGGAGGGCCTATACTTGGTGAGGTGGATCAACCCCTTTCGGACTCAAGAGTGAGTGCTTCAATATGTTTATATTTCTATTTCTACCTGTAGTTTTCTTCCAATTCATTATTTAAAAATGAATTTAAGCACAAACTGAACTTTCCACAACTTTTTTATTATTAACAAATAATTGAGGATAGTTTAATTTGTGTTTTAAAGTAACAGCTAAGACAATTACTAATTATTCGAGTTTAGTCACAAATTGGGCATTAGTGGGGATGTTTTTTAACCAAGTGCATTTGTATGTTGAAAATTGTGAAAATTCCTGAGTACTTTTCAATGTACTTCAAGTTTTCTTTTAATGACGTTAGTAAAAAGTCTAGTTTTCCTACATATTGAAAATTTATAACTATTTTTCTTTTCCTTTACGTTTTACATAGGTACTAATTTTAGTAGAAAGTTTGACTCTTCTAATTTTTAATAAAAATAATAGTGTTAGTTTTAGAAACTTCCAAATTCATTTAGCGTCTATTTCAACAAACTTTTGAATACCTAAAGGAAAATTTAATCTAACTGATTAAAAATTAGAAAAGCTAAACTATCTACTAACATTAATACCTATTTAAAATGTAAAGGAAAAGAAAAATAGTTATAAATTTTCAATATGTAGGTCAACTAGACTTTTTACTAACGTCTTTAAAAGAAAATTTGATGTAGATTCAAAAGTACTCACGAATTTTCAAAATTTTCAACATACAAATCCACTTGGTTAAAAAAAATCCGCACTAGTCCCATTTGTGACTAAACTCGAATAATTAGTAATTCTCTTAGATGGTACTTTAATTAAAACACAAACTAAAGTTAGATTAAATTTTCCTTTAGGTGTTCAAAAGTTTGTGGAAATAGACACTAAATGAATTTGGAAGTTTTTAAATCTAATACTTTATTATTTTTGTTACAGCCATTCTTCGTATTCCTACCCAACGTTGTGGAGGAGGAGCGCCTATACCTGGAGAGAGGTGGATGAACCCCTTTCGATCTCAAGGGTGAGTACTTCAATATATTTTAAAATTTGTAAATAGGAAAGCAACTGATCGTTAGAAGTTTTAACTAAACTTTTATTTGGTTTATTACAAAACCATAACCATTACGTATATGTTTTGCCAAAAATTGGCTTCTTTGTATGAGTTACGATGTAGGTACATCTGAAGAAGTCAAAGTTTCGCAATACATATGTAACAGTTATTGTTTTATAATAATTAAACAAATAAAAGTTTAGTGAAAATCCTCATTTGTTTTCTTATTTTCAACCAGTCAAAGTCAAGTCAACCAATTATTCTTTATTTTTTGTTAGTTATATTCAAACTAATGCTTGATTTTGTTGCAGCCGTCCTTGGTGTTCCTACCCAACGCATTGGAGGATGTTCGAGAGAGATGGATCAATTCCACAAGGCTACAACGGTGAGTTCTTCAATATTTTTGTAGAATTTAAGGGATCAAACTAAATATTCTTTTAATTCTATTGCTTTTGTATCTCAAGATCATTTAATTTAGTTTGATCAAATTAACAAACGTTCTTCTTTTACTGTAACTTATTAAATTTCTTTTTCTCACTTTAGAACATTCTTTGTACGTTAGAAAAAATATATTTTTATTCTTTAAACTTTTAACTAACACAATAATTATCTTTTGTTTCAGGAGGATCATCGTCAGCACCGCAGGAGGATTCGGTCGCGTCGGGAGTGTTTCGGGAGTGCTCTGGAGCGTCCGAATTCGAACTTCGAAGGCTCCAGCACCTGGAATCCCGGAAGTTCCGGGATTCTAAGTCCTGGAAACTTCGGAATTCGAATCCGAAGGACTCCAAAACGTTGGATTTCGAAATCTTCGAAATCCATCGTTCTGGAAAACTTCGGGTTCGTATTTCGGAGTTTCCAAGACTTGGTATCCCGGAACTTCCGAAATTTCATGTGCTGGGGACTTCGTAGTTCGAATTTGGACGCCCCAAGATCCGGGCCTTGTCCCGGACGGTCGTCGAATCACAAAAACCTTCGCACTAAACCTGGTAGGCGTAAAAAATTCATTTTGTCTTTTAAATAAAACACAGTTGTATATTAATTTGATTTTTATTTGTGTATCCTCTCCCCCTTATGTTCCCTCCCCCCTCCCGTGGGGCCCACCCCTTTCGCGGGGTAGACCCTCCCGTGGGGCCCACCCCGTTCACGGGGCAGACCCTCCCGTGGGGCCCACCCCCTTCGCGGGGGAGACCCTCCCACACACGCACACACATACGCACCCCTCCATTCACTCCGAGGGTGATAATGCGTGCGAGAATGAGAGGAGAGTACATATGAGAGGGTAATAATTCATAAAAGGGAATTATTTACCCTCTCTTATGCTCTCCCACTCTTTCTCGCACACATTCTCACCCTCAGTCACACATACTCTCTCAGATGAAAATGCGTGCGAGATGAGAGGGAGAGTACGTTTGGGTGAGGGTTAGAATATATAAAAGGATATCCTTAACCTCTCTCGTACTCCCCCATTCTTTCTCGCACACATTCTCAACCCCATTCGTTCATACTCTCTCACAGGTGATAATGCGTGTGCGATGAGAGGGAGAGTACGTTTGAGTAAGGGTAAGAATTCGCAAAAGGGTATTCTTAACCTCTGTCGTACTCCCCCACTGTTATTCACACACATTCTCACCCTATTCGTTCAAACGCTCTCACAAACCCTCTATCTCTCGTTCATTCAAATACTTCCTTTCACGCCCACATTAACCCTTCCACATACGTTCTATCTCCTTTCATACTTTGCTTCGACCCCTTTTAACGCGCATTTCCTCTTCCATTCACATTTTCGCCCCATTGACTCCCTCTCACACATACGTGTACTCCCTGCTTCATTCGCTCAAATGATGGGAATGCATGCGAGAATGAGAGGGATAGTATGTATGGAAGGGTAAGAATTAATAAGAGTATTCTTACCTTCCCTCACGCATAGTCACCCACTTTTTTTCGCACACATTCTCACCCCTATTCGTTCAAATTCTCTCATATACATTCTACCCTCCTGTCATACTTTATTCCTCCCCTTTTAACTCGTACTCCCTTCTTTCACGATCACACATTCTGATTTTCTCCCTCAAAGCCTCTCTTATTTTCATTCATATAATTTTCATACTACCTCTCTCACCCCATAGTAAATCCCCAATTCCCCTTTTGTTTATTATTACAATGATATTGACAACATAATTTGAATTTAAATATGTGATAAATTAAATATTAAAATGGTTACTTCCTAATATAGTACTTAATAATTATTCCTAATATATTTAAACATAAAATCCAAATAACTATTTTATCTTAAGGACAATATGTTTAT